CACCTGCCAGTCAGTCGAGGGGGTGTTGGCTAGTAATACCATATTATGAGCTACAGTTCAAACACCCACTCAGCATGTGTGTTGCTGACAGATGGCTGAGTTTAAATCTGCATTAATCAGTGTTATGATAAGCCAACCGACTGAAACACAAAATGACAGTCATAAAGATCTCCTGATGCATGCTCAATAATCCAGGTAGAAAATTCCAAAAAAGTTCAATCTGGTCCTCTGGACATTCAAAAAAGACAAAAAACAAAACAAAGCAAAAAAATATAGAAAAGTTTCGTCTCTCATCCAAGAGACTTCCTCAGTCTGAGGAGCTGTTTTCAGCTCAGTCTCTTAAATAGCACCTTCTCAGAGTGGATCAACCAGTTTGCCGCTGACAATCAAAACCACCTGATCACATGCTCAAGAAGGACCATCAGCCTAACAATGGATCATTAGCACACTGATGGCTGTTTACTATTCACAGAGGGCAAGTTGGCTTTCTTGGACTGTGAGGTCTCAGTCTCTGATAGAGGACATTTGCAAACCGAGGTGTACTGCAAACCCACCCACACAGACCAGTATTTGCAGTTTGACTCCCATCACCCTTTGGAGCACAAGTTAGGAGTCATCAGGACTCTGGACAGCATCCCCACTAACTCGGGAGCCAGGCAGAAGGAGAAATCCTACACAAAACAGGCTCTAGAGCAATGTGGATATCCTAACTGGGCCTTCCTGAAAGCAGAGAAGAAACCCAAACAGGACCCCAGTTTGCCATCAGGTGAAAAGGAGGAACCCAGACCCAGACCAGTGGTCATTCCGTATGTTGAGGGAGTATCAGAGAAACTGAGATGTTTATTTTCTAAACATAACGTCCCAGTGGCTTTTAAACCCCAAAATACATTACGGCAAAGACTGGTTCATCCCAAAGATCCAGATTACAGAGTAATATTGTGTATGCTGTTCAGTGTCAGGAGGGCTGTGATCAGTCTTACATTGGGGAAACTAAACAGCCACTGGCCAAAAGGATGGCCCAGCACAGAAGATCAACATCATCAGGCCAGGATTCTGCGTTCTACACTCATCTCCAGGCCAGCGGTCACTCTTTCAAGGATGAAGATGTTCACATCCTGGACAGAGAGGAACGATGGTTTGAGAGAGGAGTAAAGGAGGCCATCTTTGTGAAAAAAAATCGTCTATCATTAAACAGGGATGGAGGCCTCCGGGTTCAACTGTCCCCCTCTTACAATGCTGTGATTGCTAGTATCACTCAGCCCTCTGTGAATAGTAAACAGCCATCAGTGTGCTAATGATCCATTGTTAGGCTGATGGTCCTTCTTGAGCATGTGATAGCTGGTTTTGGTTGTCAGCAGCAAACTGGTTGATCCACTCTGAGAAGGTGCTATTTAAGAGACTGAGCTGAAAACAGCACCTCAGACTGAGGAAGTCTCTTGGATGAGAGACGAAACGTTTCTATGTTTTTTTGCTTTGTTTTGTTTTGTTTGTTTTTTTTGAATGTCCAGAGGACCAGATTGAACTTTTTTGGACAGTCATAAAGACTACTGATCATATTACTCTTTAATACTCCGAGCGTTGCTGCAACTACTTTGTAGAATACAAACATACTGACTGTAATTAGAAATGTCATATTATTATGTTGCTCTAATAAGTACCGTACATTTCTTTGCAAGCTGTGTTGCATTTCAAACATTTATGTCATTGTTTTCCTATATATTATTATTTTAAAACAAATTGTGTCTAATTATAGAACTTGTAATATTTGGGGTAGCCACTTTTATGCTTGCCTTTTGTTCCAATTCTTTTTTCTTTTTTCTTTTTTTTTTAACTTAGATCTGTTTTGACCTGTTTAATAAATGCAACTACAAAAGCCGCAAAACAAATTTTGAAAAGAACACTTTTTCTTTCTGTTATTAAAAAAAACCCTTTATGTTGATGTTATAGTACTGAGAAATCCATCCATCATCTTTTTACCTGCTTCTTGCATTTTTGGGTCACGGGGATTGCCGGTGTCCATGTCCAGCAATCACTGTGCAAGGGGTGGGGGACACCCTGGACAGGTTGCAAGTCCATCACAGGGACGCATATAGACAAACGAGACAACAACCATTCACTCTCTCACTCACACCTAGAGACAATTCAGAGTTATCAATCAGCCTAACACGAATGTTTTTGGTCTGTGGGAGGAAACCGGAGTACCCGAAGAAAACTCACGCATGCACGGCGAGAACATGCCATCTCCACCCAGAAAGGCCCCCGGACCGGGATATGCGCCGGCAACTTTCGTGTTGAGAGGCAGCAGCTCAACTAGTTGTGCCTGTTATAGTACCGAGAAATATTTCCGGAACTGTTTTCCGCATTGTTGGACACAAAAAGAACTAATGCAGTGATTTTTTTCCTGTATTATTCAGATGCAACATAAAAGACTAAATGGTGGGAAATGGCAACCATATTGTCCCAGCTGACTCTTTCTCTCTCTCTCTCTCTCTCTCTCTCTCTCACACACACACACACACACACACACACACACACACACACACACACACACACACACACACACACACACACACAGACACTGATATCTTACAGTGTAAATGTGTGTGTGTTTGTGTGTAGGGGGCTCTCATGCATAAATGAGATCATTTTCATAAATTAAAATCTTGCCTGCAGAACGAACATCTGTTCTCTTTACACGCACACACACACACGCACAAACCCACACACACACACACACACACACACACACACAAACAGCTATCCTAATTTTGTCCTTCAGAATGTTGTACAATGTTGTCATCTGTTTTGGGAGATATATTGTATGCCATCATTTTTGGCTTCACTGTCACCAGGAATCCTTAAATTCATCAGGTGCTGGTTTAGCTAATGGTGTAACTTTTACCAAGGTCATACTTGGTGAATTGCTCTTTCAAATTATTTTACCACTGTGTGCAAAATGCAACAATAAACAAAAAGGAAAAACTTTAATACTTATTATTTTAATTAATGTAAAATAATGTTTCCCATGATTAATATATGGGCAGCACGGTGGTGCAACTAGTAGAGCTGCTGCCTCTCAACGAGCAGGACCCCGGTTCAAATCCAGGTCCGGGGGCCTTTCTGGGTGGAGTTCGCATGTTCTCTCCGTGCATGCGTGGGTTTTCTCCGGGTACTCCTGTTTCCTCCCACAGACCAAAAACATGCATGTTAGGCTGATTGGTAACTCTAAATTGTCCCTAGGTGTGAGTGAGAGAGTGAATGGTTGTTTGTCTCGTTTGTCTCTATGTGTCCCTGTAATGGACTTGTGACCTGTCCAGGGTGTCCTCCACCCCTCACACAGTGATTGCTGGACATGGGCACCGGCGACCCCCGTGACCCAAAATGGAAGAAGTGGGTAAAAGATAATGGATGGATGGATGATTAATATTTGTATAAATAATAAGCAAATTAGAATTAAAGACATAAAATCAACAATCATTTTCATTTTAAAGAATGCAAAACTTTTTTTTTTGTCTAATCATGGAATCAGATGCTTTGAATAAATTGTTTTAAAAGTTTTACGGAACGATTTATGGATTTTTATGCACGTGCTCACACAGACTCATGTTCGTGCTGCTGTTGTTCGGCGTGTTGTTTTTGTACTAGTAGTGTTTAGTGTATTTCTTAGTTTATATCTTAGATCTTACTGTTTTTCTTTACAATTTATACTTTTGTTGGATGTAACTGGGACCCTGTGTACACAATTTTGTTCCACCACATGTACCACATATGATGAGAATGACAATAAAGAAACCTTGACCTTGAAATGTTTTTAATATCATAACTTTGCCAATACTAAATGTTAAAGCTCCCGTATTACTAGCTGGATGATAATTTGCTGTTCACATCTCTATATTTCGATTCACTCCTTTCACAGCTCTGGAAAACCTCATACAAAGATACATCATAGCTTGATTGGAAATATTGTGCTATGCCTTCTGTTAACACTATATTTTACAGAGTAGACACGTTTTGCCAAAAAAAAAAGTAATTCGTTTTACATACACAACAATAGAGCTCTATAGTTCAAGCATACAATAGAAATTTACAGTAATTCAGAGTTTAACAGGTCACAGAAAGTTGGATTTTATGTAGCAAAAACTGTCATTTGCACATCTTTAACTGTTTTTACACATCGCACAAACACCGTAGATACAAATAGAATGGATGTTTCCGCCACTTATGGTTCAGAATTAGTTTGACTTCTATTTTATATAGTTTATAGACTTAATTTCTACTCTGCATTTTTGTCTGCCTGTCTCTTGAAAATGTAGTCAGAGAGTGAGAGTCCCAGATGTGAGGTTACCATGGTGACCACACTGAGCCACTGGCACTAACTTTAACTTTATTTTTGTTGCTCTCTTTATGTTAAATACATAGTTTATACAGTCAAACACAATTCATTGTTTTTAACTTATCCCACAAATGTAATTTCCAAATTACTGTTGGGCGTCACAGATTAACACTCACACGTGTTGGAATATGGAAGTTGGTCACATTGGCAAAGATGTCCCAATAATTAGTTCTAATGTTTTAAGGGATTAACACTGACACTATCCAATTAATCCGATTAATTGTTATTATTAGCTTTTACTGAAGGTACTTTATGAAAAAATCTTGACTAAGTGCCAGAGAAAGTCTGAAAGCAATAATGCAGCTCAGACTGTTTGTTGTGCTGTTGCAGAAGATGCAGGTACATCACATGAAATTATTCTCAATAAAAGGCCTTTATAAACATCTTGTAAAATATGAACAAGGGTTGCATGAAATGCCAACAAAATGCTACAGAAACGTTACAAAAAAGCAAGAGGTAAAAACCACAGAACAGTTCAGCCCAACTCCAGCTCTCAGCCTACGTCACCTCACACAGACCCAAAAATAGACATCTTTTAATTTTCATCAACATTTGGAATTAGCAGCTGTTTGCTCAGGTTTTAACAAAATTGCATAGTTTACTCCAGATTATTGCTCATTGATTATTGATTATTTATATGGTTGAAAACGAGACCGAAGAAAAGCCTTGCTCGCACATGAAATGTAACAAAGATGGCCAAGGCATCAATGACATCACCATCAATGGGCGGAGTCACAGAGCCTCGCGGGAATGCAGGGACAGACTGAACGATAGCTAGGAGGTGACAGGACAACACATGAAGGCTTCTTTGTGTAAGTCTCTCTATCTTCATCAGTCTTGCAGTTCTTCATCTCTTCCTCATGACTCATGGAAGATGGCGTTCAACTGGGCGTTCATCAGCCGCTCGTGGTGCGAGTGTCCGTCAAACCCCATCAGCTGTTCCACCTGCATCTCAGCGCACCGCTGATTGGGCCCCCCGCTGCCATAGATGGTGGCGTGCCCTCCTGCTGCTCCTCCTCCATAGTGCACACTGAAGGAGAAGCTCTTGTTGTAGTCAGAGGCTGTGACGGGCTCGTGCTTGAAGGAGGAGAAATTGCCACTGATGCTCAGAGGAGGACTGAGGGGCGGATCAAATGCTGGGCCATCTGACACCAAAACGCCATCAAAGAAGGGTTCCAGTGGGCCATAGGGCTGACCTTTGACCTGGTGGAAGATGTGGGAAGGGTCCATACTGCCATAGGGAGGGCTGGGTAAGCCGGCTGTCAGCCCAGGGCTCTGGTAGGGGAAGTGTCCAGGGTAGGGGGCAACACCAGTGGGGGGGAGGTGCACAGGCAAGTCAGGTGTTTGCTCTGGAAGGAAGGTTCGAGGGTTTAGCTGAAGACAGCCTGCCACCAAATTAGTGGTTGGCTGAGACAAACCTGGAAGCAGAGACACAGTTATTGGTAATAATACTTGCTATTAAAGCTTTCTAATAAATATAACCCAAATACTATATGAGTAATCAGTTGGTGCTCATAAATATGGAGTCATGTTAAAACCCAAACACATTTGACAATATACAGTATTTTATACTTTTTATATTTGACAGAGTTGGAAGGCAAAAAAGATTATCTAAGTTACGTATATCAACGTTTAATTATTTGTTTTTAGTGTTCTGATTAATATACATATGTGCTCTCATTTTATTATTTAATTTTAGTGAATTTTTCCTTGCCAGGCTGATACTGTAAGTAAAAAAACTGTTCTTGGTGAAAGAAAGACAAAAAAATAAAAATAAATAAAAAATTGTAACACTGTATGTTCATGCTGCTGTGTTCATTCAGACTCACACAGTCTCATGTTCATGCTGTTCGGTGTATTGTACTACTAGTGCTTAGTGTCTTTTTAGTTAATGTTTTCTTAGTTCATATCTTAGATCTTATTACTGTTTTAATTTTACATTTTATACTTTTGTTGGATGTAACTGGGACAACTGTGTACACAATTTTGATCCACCACATGTACCACATGTTATATTTTGCTCTGTCTAATACTCTAATACTTGTTTTTCAGGGGTAGGAAGGTTTAGTTGTGGAAGTATTTTCTATCATTCAATCGCCTAATCTTGCAAAGATCCTGGATTGAAACATTAATTACTAAATAATATCTGCAGAAAAACATGAATAATAAGTTTTTCTGTTCATTTATTTGCTGCTTCATTCCAGTAAAATTTGCTCTTATCAGAATCCTCAAAAAATATTTAGGCAGTGCAGTATTATTATTATTTTTATTTATTTATTAAATATTTTTTGCAGAATACATTTAGGTAATTTCTGTAATTATTTTCCAGTAAAATTTGCTCTTATCAGAATCCTCAAAAAATATTTAGGAAGTGCAGTATTATTATTATTTTTATTTATTTATTAAATATTTTTTGCAGAATACATTTAGGTAATTTCTGTAATTATTATTATTTTTTTTACATTTATAACAACTTGTCTAAATGTAGAGAGAGATATACATACAAAATGAACTAATAATCACTAAAACATGGATTAAAAATGTTAAGAACACTAAATGTTCCCACTGAGGTTTAAATATTTCATATTTTGTTCCTTTTTGGAAATGTTTTTTTCCAGAAATAACTGGCAATTAAACACATACAATTAGTAAGAAATGAGATCGAAATTAAAAATTTAAGAAGTTTTGTTATCACATTTAGTACATTTTTATTTCCTTCAACAGCTGAGAGTGTAATTAGCATTACTCGTGCTATCGTCACTGTTAGCAAGTTAGCATCTAGCCTGTTGGATCTCTGCTCATGTATGACTTGACTTCACAGGACCACTTTAAAAACATTTTTATTTGAAGGCCTGAGACTTCACTTCAATCCCTTTAGTATCGCCTGACACCAGTCGGCAGCAGTTAGCTGTTCTTACCTTTGCAGAGCGCCTGGACGAAGCTCATGAGGTCAGGCGCCTTGCCAGAACGCAGAACCTCGCTAAGTGCCCAGATGTAGTTCTTGGCGAGTCGCAGCGTCTCAATCTTTGACAGTTTCTGGGTTTTGGAATAACATGGGACAACTTTTCGCAGACTCTCCAGAGCATCGTTGAGCCCGTGCATGCGGTTTCTTTCACGGGCATTAGCTTTCATTCTGCGAATCTTGAACCTGCGCAGGCCAAAACGTTTTATTTTAGGTAGTTATAACATATCAAGTTATTAAATATCATATTTGGAACAACTTTTCTTTGATAACACGTATTCAGGAGTTGAGAGTTACACTAGCATCTAAACGCGTAGGAAGTTAGCACGTTAGCTTGCATCTGTTCTTCTGTTGCCCTGTGGAAAGTGCTCACATCCTGTTTTCTAACAGGATAATTGTAACTGTGAATATGTGACGGGAAAACACAGAAAACTGACTAGTGAGCATAAAAAACACAAACAGCGATGCTATGAGAGAAAACAGTGAATGCATCATTAACTACAGTGGTGTGTTCAGGCACCATGCAGAGTAATTAAAACTTGGTTTTGAACTACTGAAAGAAAACAAGTTAGATTATTCTGTTATAAAACATTTTGTTCTCTTTAAATAAGAGCTCTTAAAATGTCCTGTCATGTGACCAGTCACGTTCCTAAAACTTTCTAAGGGTATTTATGTAAATAAATGGCTCATAAATGTTCAAAACGTTGAAGTCTTAACTACTTTTTTGTTTAGCTTTGTGTTTTGAACATCAGAACCAGCTGTGTCATTTATCGAACTGATCTTGTAGTGAACGGTCAGAGGGGTCTGCCTTCAGGTTTAAAATGTACCATGTGCACCTTCCTGTGAACAGTTGTATTATTCATATTTTCATCAGATGAGTATTATCCTAATGTTCCATCTCTTTTAGTTTGATGTTTGGCACGCTGGTATCAAATGACATAAAGATCATTTGAAGTTATTTGAGCTCTTGAATTCAGAGCAACATTTAGACAGTCTGTGTGAAAACATTCATTTTGGTGAACCGTACCTCTGCAGGCGAGCCTTTGTCATCTTTTTCTTCTTTGGCCCTCGTCTCTTGGGTTTGTGCTCCCCATCTTCCTCCTCTTCCTCCTCGTCCTCCTCGTCCTCCTCTTCATTCTCATCCAGATGGTGTAGTCGGTCCTCCTCCTCCTCTCCTGCTCCTCCTGTGTCTTTTTCTGCCGGGCTGCATAGGTCCTGCTGCTCGTCCAGCTCTGCTGACGTCTGCTCCTCCCTCAGCGCCCTCGTCATGTTGTTTGTCTGAGAACACCAAGAAGGACTCTTTAGAAAACCCAAAACACAGCTCTCATCACGTTGACTTTACTCATTTTTCATGCAAGAAAATGCAGAAAAGGCTTTTAAATTAATCATTGATTTAAATGAAAATATTTTCGTTTTTTTATATTTCCATTATACAAATATTAATAATTATACAAACTTTGTACTTCACAATCAGTATGATTTTATAGTATGTCAAAATAACATAATTTACATTTTTATGAGCATGAACTATTTATTTTTTTTGTTCATGTTTCTGTGTTTTTAACTATGAATATGTGTACATTTCTGAATTAAAGAAGACTAGGTTGTGTTTTTAGTCATAAGTTTAAACTTAATTTATTCTGAAGGACAGAAAAAAGAAAAGAAAGAAAGAAAAAGAAAGAAAGAAGATTTGAGCTACAGTTTAATGAAATACGCAGGTTAGATATTTACACTTAGTTGTATTATTTAAAATCTATATCTAATGTATAAAAAATTTTGCAAGTTGCACAAAAAGGCAGTGGAAATTTGGTTTATAGGGATCTGCAATAAAACATACAAACAAACAAAGACATTTACCAGAATGGGGGGTTTTACTTATTCAACTTGTGTATTTAAAACAAGTAAAATTAAATGGTTGAGAAAAAAAAGATACTTGACAAACCTGCTACAACAATTAACAAAATTACTGAAATATAAATTATAAAATAAACGCGTTTAAAATCTTAAAGTGCTAAATTAATACTACTACTACTACTACTACTACTACTACTACTACTACTACTACTAATAATAATAATAATAATAATAATAATAATAATAATAATAATAATAATAATAATAATGTTTTTTTCCCTTTAGTGTTTTACTAATTTTTCCAATTAGAACAAATTATTTTAGTCCCGACAGGTCATACAGATGGACGGAGGGACGTTTATAATTATAACAAATAAAATAAAATAATTGAGGACGATGGTTGATTTAAATGAAAGATTTCAAAATTTGCAAAAGGCCACTTTTTATACGCAAACCAAAAAGTTTTGTGAAAAATTCTGAGCAAATTGAGAACAATAAAATAACTTGTCACAAGAAATAAAAACATCAACTTAAAAAAAACTGACACAAAATAAAACAAATAATTCAAACTTTCAGTTGCATATAATATTTTGACACAACAGATAAAATATTCACTGATGAAACTTACATTAATGTGTTTGAATCTGCAAATCAGTGGAGGAATATTCCCGGGTTTTACCGTCAGATCGCAGACATCCCGCGCGCTTTGTCCGCGTCCGTGCTTCACTGCGCGTGAGATGATGGGGGCATTCTGAGGCGTGTGCGTGGGATGCTGCTGCTTTTGTACTCATCACACACGCGCGCGCGCACACACACACCTTGAAGGGCTGTGCGGAATTAGCATATCAAGGCCACGCCCTTCCGGCACGCGCCATATGGTGCGAACGTCAGTAAAACGGCCCCGGGGATCACGTGACCAATCTACAACCCTGTCTTTGTGAGGAAAATTGGCCATCTGTCAACACAAACATGCACAATAAACACACCTGAACTTGTTATTCTGGAAGCACTGTTTAAATTTAAATTTTTTATTTAATTAGTTTATCATTATTATTATTATTATTATTATTATTATTATTATTATTATTATTAGCGGATTATTGAGCATGCATCAGGATATATTTAAATAGGATTACTAAGTGTATGATGGAGATGAAGAGGATTTTTCCTCATCATCAGAACTGTTTGATCAGTGTAGATTAATCGTCAGCTTCAGTTTCTGTGTTGATTATAAATTGTTGATTACATTAACTGGTTTGCTGATTCCAGATTGACATTGAAAAAACATTTTCCATTACAAATATTTTAAATATTTATGTATTTCTTATAGCATTACTATAAAACAAAACTTATTTCAGACTTCTGAGGGGATGTGAGAATGATGAGGATAAAGGTGTTTTGGGTTATTTTGGGTGGGTGGGTGGGGGGTGGGGGGGTATGTATAGGCCCTATTTGTGCATGAATTTGTGCAACTACGTGTAAAACTGTCATTTTCATTTCTTTGTCATTTTTTTAGAAGAGGTCAAATTACCGGGTAGACACACCACTGTTCCCAGTGACACTGCCCTCAAGCGGTGATAATAAATGTGAGTTTGAAAGAAGCAATATAAGAATGTTTAATGCTTAATAAAGTCATAGAAAAGGCAATTTAGTCAGTCATATTGATGTCCAGTGTACAGTAATTTGGCTTTTAAACTCAAGTCTGTCAAAAAGACAGACCTTTTCTGCCAGTAAAGATACTTGGTTCAAAGTTGATTTGTTGAAAGGTTGAAAAAAGTTAACACAAAAGAAGAATAATGAAAAAATAAAATAAATATAAAAAGACAATGAAATGTAGGGGAAAATCCTGACGTAATCACCGATATATA